TGCCTTCGGCACGCATGCCATAGGTTGCCTACCCCTGACCTACAACATCTTGGTAAGAAGATTTTTCTGTAAGTGTGGCTGGGTCTCATTTTGGAAACAAGGCAAACTAGAATCACCTAGAGACAGACAGACATATTGTTTTGTCTTTTAAAGATTATTATGACTTAAAATGTACATAAAATATTTTAATGCAGAAGGAGCTGACAGATTATAGCCTACTGCTACCTACTGCCTTTTAAAAAAAGGTACATAATAGATACTTAAGACTGGAAGTACTATGCTTTGCCTTCAGTTTTAGTTATGTCATTTTTTTGTTTACTGTATTATTATAGTTACTCACACAAAGCATGGATCACGGTGTTATATGGGGACATTTAAAAATGGATTAATTTAAGTTATGAGCATTTCCAAAGGGAATGAACATACCACACTCCCTTGCAGCACATATCTACTGAAAATCCCTCCTTGACTTGTTCCCCACCCATCTCTCACCTGATTAATAATCCAGCCACTCTAGCCTGTTCACTTTAATGCGTGCAGCTTCTGAAGCAAGTGAATTGGAGTCAGATATGGGAAGAGGCGAATTCTTTAGAACTACCACCAGTGGAAATGTTTTTTTAAAAGAACATGTAATAGATAAATCACAATAATGTCTATTCCAAATGTCTCAGACATCAAAAACTGGGATATATACTTGATGATATGGCAAGAGATGATATGAAAAAAAAAGCCTAAGACAAGAGAGAATTATGGAAGGTAAATTGGTGGATAAAGAATTCATGCCAGGAGTGGGGAAGCTATATACTCCATCCTATAAAAAGTCACACATTTATGTACTATTTATAAAATAGGATTAAAAACTTTTTAAAAGCATGTATTTATCTAGCTTCCGGTAGAGGCTCGTCGCAAGTAGAACAAAGCCAAATTAAAAATAAGGAAATAGAACTAGCATACGTGCTACGGTCTAGAGTTAAAGCTTCATCAACTAAAAGACAAACCACACTTCTGAAATTCTTTTTATAGCTGCAGTTGTTATAAACAATGAAGATGACTGTAACTTAAAGTGATTACAGAAAAATTATTTTTCAGTTTGTTTCTTTAGTTTACTCTTTTTCCTATACAAGTTATTCAGTTTTCCTTCTTGTTTGTGTGGGTATTTGTTGAAAAGCAACCAGGCAGGGAAAAAAGAAAATGGGAAAAAGGAAATTTGTTTACATACTATACACATTGGTAAGTGGATTTAGGGGATCAAGGGTAGCTAGGGTTACCATACGTCCGGTTTTTCCCGGACATGTCCGGCTTTTTGGTAATCAAACCCCCGTCTGGGGGGGAATTGCCAAAAAGCCGAACATGTCCGGGAAAAATACCAGCCGGGCTCTTCCCCTCCCGGGCTCCAGCTGCTCTGCTCCTCCCCTGACTCTTTGGCTCTGTTTAAGAGCCGAGCGC